CAAAAAAAAAAACTATATAATAAGAAAGGGAGTTGGCTTATGATCTCGTTTCGACCCTTTTATGTTTATTAGACCTCATTTAGCTTTTTGCACGTTTATGTATTGGAAGGAAGCATCGATCGAGCGAATCATATGTAGGATGACTTGGGGCGAGTTTTTGTTTCGTATGATTTCATCTTGTGGGGAACATGTTTTCGAATTTGAGTTTAGTTCTATGATTACCGGAGGATAATGAGAGTTTCATAATCGCATGATTTTTAACTTTGAACCATTCGTTATTTCTTTTCGAACTATTTGATATTTTGTTTGCTTGAGGACAAGCAAAAAGTTAAGTGTGGGAGAGTTGTTTATTGTGTTTTTGTGTGTTTTTCTGTGTTTTTGTGTGCTTTCGAGTCGATTTTAGGATTTTGTTTTAGGGTTGACCGGTCCATTTTGTCGTTTATCGTGTGTTTTTATGTTTTTTTCTTTTTATTTTATATTTTGGCGTACTTTTCCGTACTTTTGGGTATAAATTACAGGTTTATTCCGAGGATGGAGAGGGAGAGTCGAACCATGTTCCGAAGAAGTCGAGTTACCGAGTAGTTTCAAGACATTCCGTGTGAGTTGTTGATTAGACCGAGAAGGTGGAGCATTAGTCGATTTCATACCGAGATATCACCCAACCGTGCCCGCAAGCCCGCCGAACCGCGAGATCGAGAGCCCTGTTGACCTTGCCCAGCACACGCCGCGAGCCCGCCGGAAGAGCCGCGAGGTCGAGAGCTCGCCCTACCATTGTCATCACACACTCACGAGCTCGCCATCGGGGCCGCGAGGTCGAGAGTTCTTCCATGCCATCGCCATCACATGCTCGCGATCTCGCCACCGGAGCCGCGAGGTCGAGAGTGCACCTTGCCATCACCGTTGCACGATCGCGAGCTTGCCAGAAGCCTCACGTGGTCGAGAGTGTCGCGCCCGTGCATCTTTCTCCTTGCGTGCTCACGAAAGTTGTGGCGTGATCGGGAGTGCTTCATTTAATCTACGTTTTTGAATGTGTGTTTTATGGTGGAGTATAAATACTTTTTAGCCTTTGCATTTGGGGATTATCTAGCTCATTATGAAATGTTTCTTTTTTTGGTTCTTAGCTTTAGCTTTTATTTCTCTCTAGAGTAAAGTGAATGTTATTTACTCTTTCCGGCGACTTTTTCCGGTGACTTCTCGTTTATGCAAGTTTTAATCTTTTTCTTTCAATTTCGATCAAGCATGCTAGGGATGTGAGTCCTTACTTTTAAGCCTTGTGATCTCGATTTTCGTACTTACGGCTTGCGTAGAAGTAATTAGGGCTTGCTTGGTTATTGGATTTTTAGTAGCTATTTTAGTTGTTTCGTTTCCTTTACTTTTGTGAGCTCGTTTATGATGCTTGGGGTTGATTGATTGATTGATTGCTACTTGAAAAGTCGTGACTTTACATTTAGCTCGGTTGTTTCGTCGTAGGATTTCGGTTTTGGCTCTTAAGCATGCTAAATGGAGTTCGTTTCTCTTATTTTCGCAATTGTTGCTCTTGACTTTGTTCACCGGTTTGGTTGCTCGAATTTATAGTTCGTTCACTTGCTTATTTGCTCGTTTACTTGCTTTCTCTAGTCGTAATTAGTGTTAATCATCCTCATCCCAAATTGATTAGTATGATAAAACTTTATTTTCCCTTTCTGTGATTTGAGCGATCGAATAGTAAGTAAAGCTCCGAATAGCCTTCCCTCGAGATCGACCCGAGTCGGGTAATTCGGTTATCCTTTACCCACACCAAAATTTTACTAAACATAATACGGATGCCCTTTGCGAGGCAAGTCTCCTTAAGTCCTGATATAGTCATTCCCTTTTGAGGTACGTAAGCCCATATGGAAGGTCGTGTCCGTAGTCTGGCATGTACTCCCGCCTTAGGGTAATGAATCCCCTTTCTACGGCTAGCGATAGATGTGTACACAAGAGTAATGTGAATTGGTGTGATCTTATATAGGAGATGAGACATGATCTATTATTTTATGTTCATGCTGCGACCATACCACCTTAACATTATATATTGTTTATGTGCATAGTGGTGAGCATTACGGGTTCCTTTTGTGCTCACTCCCACATGTTTCTTCATGAATGCAGGCTAAACAGGTGTCGAGCATGACGGGAAAAAGACGGTGGGTGGTCATTTATTATTATTGCGTTTCTTCCGCATTTTATGAACGTTATGTTGAGTTTATTGAACATGTTGATTGATTTCAAACTTGACTTTGAAAATGTTTAGATTGGTTTGTTTTGAAAACCCTTTTGTTGGATTCGATTGTTCTCGATCAGGTTATTTGGATATTCATGTTTGATATATCTCTTGAAAATCATGTGGAATCGATTATGCATGCTATGATGTTTAGCTAATAACCATGTGAAATGTTGTTTATCGGTTAATAAAAACTATGTGAAAAACCAGGTAATGAATCCCCGTGAGATCAGACACGACTTGATGTATGTAAATGTTAAAGTAATGCCCATAATTTTGAAAATGAATTAGAAAAATGTTTTATTGATTTTTGGAAAGTCCGAAATTTCTTTAAAATCAAAGTGGGGCGTTACAGGTTATGTGATTTTAACGACTAGGTAGTGAACGAAACTTCGAACAACCTTCCTTTGAGAACGACCCGAGACGGGTATCTCGATTACCACATGCCCAAAAATATTACAAACAATACCATACACGATGGATGGCTGTTGAAAAAAAAAAAGACTTTAAAGGTCAATAAATCTAAATAAATATTTGAAATGACAAGACAGTCCTTGAAAAAGTCTTTGTAAGCAAAAGAAGCCCTTATCAAATTTATAAATTAAGCTTGGACTGAAATGAAAACAAACAAGTTTTATTATGTTAAAAAAAAAAAAAGATTTTGCTACTTTGCCACCCTCCATTACACATGGTTGTAGACATGGTTTACAACCATGTGTAATGGAGACATTAAAAATGCAATAATGCACATTTTGCAATGTCTCCATTACACATGGTTGTAAACCATGTCGTAATGGAAGGTGGCTATGTAGCATCACCCTAAAAAAAATGTCAAATGTCACTTTAAACTTAAACATGAAGAAAGGCCAATATATATATATATTATGCAAAAAATATGAGCAAAAAACCCCAAAATGAAGAAAAAAAAAAGAAGAAATTGTATAAGCAATTGCTTTAAAAGACTAAAAATGAAACATAAAAGAAAAATGTCTAAGTGGCTGTTGAGTAATGTAACAGTCAGTCTCATCAGCATCGATCTGTAATAATAATAATAGATAGATCTCTGTGGCCGGTGTTTGTTGCTGGGCGTTTTGAGTTAGTTGTGCCTCGGAAAGGAGCTAAGTTGAGAGCAGCACTGCACGTGTAACGCATTCCCCAATATATTCATTGTCTCTCAGTCGAAATTATTACAGTCAAACTTAGTTATTATAAAGCCCACAACAAAGAAAAATATTTATTACTCCATGTTAGAGAGCCCCCATACCTATTCACGTTCGAATGATGTTAAATTATTATGAATTTTTAAATAATAAATTATTTATGGATAAAGTTGTTTATAATCGAAATTGCTCCCAAACAATTTAAAGCATTTCACTCACATCACATTAACAATTCAAAATTCATTAAATCAATTCATAATATTTCGAAATCTTTAACGGGAACAAGAACAAAAATATTACCTCCTATTTTTAATATATAAGTCGTTTTGAGAAGTTACACATTAATTAAAAATATTTTTTTTGTCAATAATAACCTTATTTAATGAAAATAGAGATGAATATTTTGAGAAAAAGTAAAGAGTTAATATGAAAAGACGTAATGTATTTATTAGCTAAATGAGAATAATAATGGAAAAATATGTACAAAAGATTCAAAACGACATTTATTTAATAAATAGTTGATAAAGCTAGAATGACATTAAAAAAAAATTAGGAAGAAGTAAGAGTTAAATCTGCATATAATATACAAAAAA